TATATATATATATTTAATTTAAAATAATATATAATTATATGTTATATTTAAACATTTTTTAATTCAATATAATATATATATATAATTTATTATAATAAACATTATAAAATTTTATTTTTATTAATTAAATTTATTTTTAGTTTTATTATATACTTTTTCCGATTTTTATTTTATGTTTGTATTTAAAAAAATTAATAAAAATAAAAAAAACATAGGAATAAATATATTCTGTTTTTTTTTATTATTATTTTTTTAAAAAAAAAATAGAGAAGAATGTAAAAAGCATTAAAATAAGATAAATATATATAAATAAATATATATTAATATAATACAAATAAAAAATAATTAAAATAGTATAAATATCATATATATTTTTTATGCAAAAATTTATTATTGTATTCAAATTTTATATAATTTTTTTATTAAACTTTAATTTATTTAATTTTATATGTTATAAATTAATAATATATTAAATCATTTTTTATTTAATTTATGAATAAAATACTGTATTTTATATTATTAGAATATATTAATTTATAATTTTTATAAATCATATAAACAAAAAAATTAATATAAATTATTAACATGATATTTTTAAGATTTTTTTTTACTATTTTTTTATTTGAAACAATATAAAAAAAAATTCTATTATTTATTTTGAAAAATATTTTGTAAATATATTTTTTTTTTATTTGAAAATTTTACATAAAAAATGTTGTTTATTAAAAATGTAAAATATTGAAAAAAATAAATTAAATTTATTTTTTACTTGTATTTTATACAATGAAAATAAGGAATATATTCTTATTTTTTTATATTATTATAATTTAATAAATAATTAATAAATATTAATTTTTACATTATTATTTTAAAAACTCAATCTTTAAAAAAATAAAGCTAATAAAAAATTATATTGACTTTTTTAAAAAAATCAAAACAATATATGGAGAAGTTAAAAAATAAAATAAAAAAATAAAACAACTTAAATAAATATATATAATATATTAAAAAATAACTGTATTTATAATCTATAAATAAAAAATATAATTAATTAAAAAAAATTAATTAAAATTATTAATTATAAAAATAAAAGTTGAAAAATGGATTTAAATATATAACATTTTTCATTAGAAGATTTATATTAAAGAAGTACACAAAAGTAAATTTTGATTTAATTATATAATTAATAATATAACTTTAATATATTAATAAATTTAATTATAGACTAAATAATTTAGAGGGTATTGATAATCTTTAGATTAGCTTTGAAACAGTACAAGAATCATGGAATTGTTTTATAAAGTATTTAAATATATAAATTATATATATGATTTGTAAAAAAAATTATAAAAAATAATATTTAAAAGGTGGTGTAAAAATTAATTAGATTTAGAAAGAATAATATAGATTCCCAATTTTGGTAATAATTATTATAAAAACCTATAATTTATAAAAATGTAATTTATTTTAAAATAAAATGATAAGGAAATATTTCTTTTGCAAGAACAAATTAAAAAGATTTAAATTAATCTTCTGATACAAAATCTATGATAATATATTTTAGTGATAATTTGATTTATGAAAAAAATCTTAAATATCGTGTAAAAATTAAATATATTTATAAATAATTTATGTCTTTTAGATATTTAAATTTATACAATAAATTTATAAAAAAAAATAAACTAAATATATATTTAATATTTTTATGTTTTTTTTTTTTTTAAATAAAGGGTGAAATAGATAATAGCAATTATCCCCCAATAAAAATAAACTATAATGCTGTGCATAAATTGTGTTAAGACCTAAATAAATAATCAGTAAAATTATCAATTGATTCTGTATTTAATGATATTAGCGATGTAAAAAAAAAAATATTAATTAATTATATAAATAATAAAGTTACTAAACATAAATAATGTAGAAATAGATTTAGGATATTTAGGAAAGATAAATTGTTTTGAAAAAACACTTAGTTTAGAGCCATTTATTCTTAATAAAAAATCCCAAAACTTAAAATCAAAATCAACTGTCCGTTCTCTTCTTGACTAAAGAAAAGGTTTGACACAATCATAACTTTAATTAAAACCTCATAATTTTATTCAATCACATGTATAAAACGTGCCAATAACAAACAGTGTAGTAGTTAATTAAGATCCAACCCAAAGTATTAACTTCGGAGTAGATAGTCATGAGAACTCGTCAATAATGAAAAAATATGAGAATTATAAATAAAAGTTCATCTATTTCTAAATTTTTATTAGTTAATAGTCACTAAGAATAATCACCTACACGTCGCTACAAATAATATATTGTAAAAATAGATCCAGAATTATTAGCTGCTGGTACTGATCCATTGTCAAAAAATTAAGTATGTTTTTAATTATATATTTAAGTGTTTTAATTTATAAATATAATAGGACTTTTCTAAATTAGCTGGAAATGCATCAAATTTAATGAAAGCTTAATTTACTAAACCTCCTAATTCAAGCGTTCGTTTTCCACCTATATTAGATAAGTTTTCAAGGACATTAGCTTCCCCATTGTCTTCATAGAAACATAATTTATCTATTAGTAATAGAATAGCATCTAATTATACACCTTCATCTCGAAAACTATATTTTGATTACGAATCTAAAGGCATTAAGATATCTAAATTATTCAATTCTGCAGTATAATTTACAGCTAACGAAGAATTATTACAAAAACCTGCCACTTTTGAAGAAGAATTATTATATGTAGTAGCAGGAGTTCGAAATATGGAATTAAATAGTAAAATTTAAGCAAAAAAAACCTGCTATGAAAGATATAAGATGTATATAGAAAATGAAATTCCAATCGAATTTGTGGCTCCAATAAATAATTATTGGATTACTGATATTTTAGATTTGATTCCTCACTAGTTATAATATGTAGATAGAGGTGTAATGGAAAATATGATAAATTAAATGCTTAATGAAATAAATAAAGATTATTATGATTCAGTTAGAAAATCTATTCTTGATTATGTACTTAAGGATGATACTGAAATGGCTAGAATAGGTATTATGGAAATTTATGATCCTATTATTGATTATGGAGATAATTATTATAAAGGACTTGAACCTGATTAAGAATGGAAAGATCATGTAAATCATGCTAAATAAGAAATTATTGCTAGCTTAGTTATTAATTCTAAAGCCACTCTTAATTTAATGAATTTATGGAAAAAATATGAAAAAATGCATTTTTTAGTTTTACCTACTAAAAAAGATTAGACTATGACTATTTAAAATTTCCTTGAAATATAAATTAAGAATATTACTGAAGTTAAAAATCATTTAGTTTCTGAATGGCATAAAGATGTTATTGATATTTATTAGGAAGAACTTAATCAAATGAATAAAAATAAAGTTATTAATTTTTAAATTTTTTTTTATTTATATTTTAATATATATAGAGATAAGCCATATTGTTCTTTAATTCAAATGCTACTTTAATGTCTAATTAGATTAGATAATTAGTATCTGATTCTCTTTTGTTATACAAAAATTTCTTTTAACGTTTTAATAAAAGTGAATTACTTGCTCCTTCTCTAATAATTGAAAGAGAAAAAAATCAACAAAATATTATCGAAGATGTATTTTTACATGTGAAGCTTATTGCTAATTCTGATAAAGTCGAATTTGCTGATGATTTATATGAAATTATAAAAAATGAAATCCTTAAGATTATTGATGATATTATTGCTACTACTTAAGGATTCCCAAGACCTGAAAATACAATAGCAAAAAGTGTAGTAAAATCTCTTTGGGCAGTTCCGAAAGATGATGAAGTTTATTTAAGAGTAAAGAAAGAAATAAATGATATTTTAGATAAAAATTTAAGAAATGTAAATGAAGTTCTACATATTTATAATAAATACGCTTACTTATTAGAAGAAAAGTCAAAAGTATCTGTTTGGACAAAATAAGAACATAAAAGAGAAGAATTTTTAAGTGAAATAAGTAAATATAAAAACACTTATAATGAATTAAATAAAGAAATCCCTTTTTATGTAAGAACTAATATGATTTTAGTTGATGGAGTTGATGTAAAAAAACAATACTTATAAATATGTTTGGATATAGTTTAGATATTATAAGCATCAATTCATTAATATTTATTAACCAAAAACGGAGATATTGCAAAAGAAATAACTAATTCTTAAGATTTTATTAAGGCAAAAGCTGAAAATTACGAAAAAATGAAATAATTGGAAGTAAAGATTGATAATATTAAAAGAGTCGAATATAAAAAAATATTATAAGAATTCCAAGAAGTTAAACTTTGGTTTAATTTATTATATGGAACTGCACATAAAATTAGTGAGGAAGATCTCAAATAACTTTATATTACTGCTAGTTTAGTTCACGGAATGCCTGGATTTGTTGATAACGAAGAAAATAGACTTTTTAAAGAAAAAGAAGAATTAGATATAAAACTTAAGAAAAAGAAAGATGATTTTGAAAATAATATCATCGAATTGTATTCTAAAATTGATACTATTAATACTACTTATACAAAAAAAGAATATGATAAGGTTGAAGCTTGTAAAGCTATCGAATAATATGCTTTTACACTTTAAGAATATATTTAAGAGGTTTTTTTTTTTTTAATTTTTTTTTAATTTTTTTTTAGATGTAAGAAATTAATATAAGAGAAGATTTAATGGGATTATAATAAACTGAATTCCCAAAACTTCAAGAAGCTGAAAATAATTTAAAACCTTATTAAGATTTATGGTTCTCAATAAGAGATAGTAAAGTAGATAGTTTGAAAAACAAACCAATATTAACATTAGATCCTGAAGACATAGAAAAAGAAATAAAATAAATGCTTATGACATTCAATAAATTAAAAATAATGTTTGGAAAATAAAAAGGAATGTAAAATCCTCTAGATTTAACCGAAGAAATGTTAGACGAACTAAGGAATTTTCAAAAGCATTAAGTATTAATTCATGTATTTTCCAATAAAGGGTTAAAATAAAGACATTGGGAGGAAATATCAATTATAATAGATACATAAGTAGATCCGAATAAGAAAGATATGATGACTTTATAAAGATTTATTGCAATGAATTTGGATTAAAAGTATGCGAAATTAGAAGAAGTATCTGACTCTGCATCAAAGGAATTCGCAATTGAAAAAATAATGGAAAAAATGAAAGAAGATTGGGCTGGTATAGCTACTGAATTAAAACCTTGGAAAGATACAGGAACTTTTATTGTCGCAGGCACAAGTGTAGATGAAGCATAATAAATTTTAGATGATTAAATAGTAAAAACTATGACTATGAAAGGATCTCCTTATGCGAAAATATTTGAAGAAAAGCTTCTCGATTGGGAAGATTGGTTAAATTATACTCAGAGCTTATTTGATTATTTTGTTAAAGTTTAATCTGTTTGGCTTTATTTAGAACCGGTTTTGACTTCTCCTGATATCGCTAAGCATTTGCCTGCTGAAGCAGATGAATTTAAAAAAGTTGATTTTGATTGGAAAAATCAAATCATGGGAAGAGTTAGTAGAGACCCTAAAGTTTTAGAATATACAAAAGATAGAAGAATGCTAGAAATTTTGAAAGAATCTCATATAAAACTTGAAAAAATTTAAAAAGGTCTTAATTCTTATTTAGAAGGAAAAAGATCTAATTTCCCAAGATTCTATTTCTTATCTAATGATGAATTGCTTGAAATTTTATCAGAAACTAAAGACCCTTAAAGAGTTTAACCTCATTTAAAAAAATGCTTTGAAGGAATTTAAAAATTATAAATTGATGCTGATAAAAATATTCATGGAATGTATTCTTCAGAGAATGAATATGTTCCTTTCATTTCATCTGTGAATACTAATGATGCTCGAGGAAATGTTGATGAATGGTTACTTTGGGTCGAAGAAAGAATGATTAAATGCGTACATAATGTTACTTCTTAAGCCTTCACAGACTATGAATAAATGGAAAGAAATGATTGGGTTATTGGAAGGTGTGGAATGGCAGTACTTTGCGTAAATATGACTTATTGGACCTATGGAACTGAAAAGAGTTTAAGAGAAGAAGGTAAAGTAGGAGTTTAAGTATTTGAAAATACTTGCACTGAAGGTTTACTTAAAATAGTTGATTTGGTACGTTCTAATATTTCGCCTTTGGACAGATGTACTATAGAAGCTCTTATAGTGTTAGATGTGCATAATAGAGACTGCATTTCGCTTTTAGTTTCTAAGGAAACTGAGCTAGTAACTGATTTCTAATGGTAAGCATAATTAAGATATTATTGGGAAAATAATGATACCGTTGTTAGAATAATTAACGCTGTATGTGAATATAATTATGAGTATTTAGGAAACTCAGCTAGATTAGTCATAACTCCTCTAACAGATAGATGTTATAGAACTTTATGTGGAGCCATTCATTTGAATTATGGTGGAGCGCCTGAAGGTCCTGCAGGAACTGGAAAAACGGAGACTGTCAAAGATTTAGCAAAGGCACTTGCTCGATAATGTGTCGTATTTAATTGCTCCGACGGGCTTGATTATAAAGCTATGGGAAAATTCTTTAAAGGATTGGCTAGTAGTGGGGCTTGGAGTTGTTTTGATGAATTCAATAGAATTGATTTAGAAGTACTTTCAGTCGTAGCCTAATAAATTTTAACTATTCAACTTGCAAGAGGAGAAGGAAAAAAAGAATTCTTCTTTGAAGATGCTACAATAAAATTAAAACCTACTTGTAATTGCTTTATTACTATGAATCCTGGTTATGCTGGAAGATCTGAACTTCCGGATAATTTAAAAGCTCTTTTTAGATCAGTGGCTATGATGGTTCCTGATTATGCAATGATTTCTGAAATTTGTTTGTATTCTTATGGATTTGCTGATGCTAGAAATTTAGCTAGAAAAATCGTCACCACATATAAATTGTGTTCTGAATAATTATCTTCTTAAGACCATTATGATTATGGTATGAGAGCTGTTAAATCAGTGCTTACTGCTGCTGGAAATCTCAAGAGAAAATTTGCTACTGAAAATGAAAGTATTCTTATGCTTAGAGCTATTAGTGACGTTAACTTGGCGAAATTTTTGGCTTATGATATTCCGCTATTTAAAGGTATTATTAGTGATCTTTTCCCTGGTGTTAAATTGCCAGAAATAGATTATAGAAACATGTATGAGTGTATTTATGCAACTTTGGAAGTTATGAATTTATAAAAAGTAGATTATTTTATTGAAAAAATTATTCAGTTATATGAAATGATTCTCGTAAGACATGGTCTTATGGTTGTTGGAATGCCTTTTTCAGGAAAAACATCATCTATAAAAGTTTTATAGGGCGCTTTGACTCTTTTAAGCGAAAGAAAACAAATGAATGAAAATAAAGTATAAATTACTGTTATTAATCCTAAATCTATTACCATGAATTAATTATATGGTTGGGCTGATGAAATTTCACATGAATGGACTGACGGAGTTTTGGCTGTTAAATTTAGAGCTTTTACTAAAGCTGATAATGAAGATAGAAAGGTACATATATATAATATATATAAAACATATTAATTAATATAAAAAAGTGGCTTATATTTGATGGACCAGTAGATGCTGTTTGGATTGAAAATATGAATACTGTATTAGATGATAATAAGAAATTATGTTTAAATTCAGGTGAGATTATTGCAATGACAAAACAAATGAATATGATGTTTGAACCTATGGATTTAGCTGCTGCTTCTCCGGCTACAGTTTCTAGATGTGGTATGATTTATATGGAGCCATAATCTATGGGTTGGGAACCTTTATATGAAAGTTGGAAAAAGAAATTACCTTCAACTTTCAGGGAAGAAGATTTTAATGAAATAGATATGTTATTCCATTGGACGATTAATATTTCTTTGAAATAATTAAGGCATGAATATAAAGAAATATCCCCAACTCAAGATTAGAATTTAGTAGTTACATTAATGAGAACTTTTAGAGGATTATTAAAAGATTTAGAAAAGCCTGAAACATATGAAAAACTATAAATTAAAGAAAGATTCTAACTAATTGATATGAGGTTTGTCTTTGCATATATTTGGTCTATTGGAGGTTCATTACCTACTTCATAAGATAGAAAGAAATTTGATTTATTTGCAAAAAGACTTTTTAGTAAAGATATTGCAGTTCCAAAAGAAGTTGAAAGCAAAAAAATATCTTTACCTGAAAGAGGAACTTTGTATGATTACATCTATAAGGTTGAAGATAAAAAACCTGAAGGAGATTGGACATTATGGACTAATCTTATTATTTAAGAAGAAATTCCTGCTAAGAAAAAGCCTAGTGAGATCCTTGTTTAAACAAGTGACACTGTACGTTATTCCTTTTTACTAAGACATAATATTAGTGAAGAAATACCTACACTTTATTGTGGACCTACAGGAACAGGAAAATCTATTTATGTGAAAAATATTCTTATGAATGATTTACCAAGAAGTTAATATATGACTATAGAAGTAGGATTTTCTGCTTAGACTTCGGCAAATGCTACCATGGATATAATAGATAAAAAATTAGATAGGAAAAAAAAAGGTGTATTTGGACCTAAAACAGGAAAATGCGTTATTTTTGTAGATGATTTGAACATGCCTACAAAAGAAAAGTGGGGTGCATAACCTCCAATAGAAATTTTAAGATAAATGATGGATTAAGGAGGATGGTATGATTTATAAGATAAGGATAAACCTTTCAAAGAATTAGTTGATATTATATTTGTAAGTGCTATGGGTCCTCCTGGAGGTGGAAGAACATTCATAACTGCTCGTTTTTTGAGACATATGAATCTAATAACATTAGTAAACTTTGATGATGAGACTTTGAATAGAATTTTCGGAACTATTCTTCATTGGTATTTTGGAGTTAATGGATTTTCACCTGATGTAACAAAGAATGAAAACAAACTAATTAATGCGACTCTAGAAATTTATAAAATGGCTATGGCTTAATTATTACCTACTCCAATGAAAAGTCATTATTTATTTAATTTGAGAGATTTCGCGAAAGTCATTATGGGTGTTTGTATGGCTGATAAAGACTCATGTGCTTCTTAAGAAGTTCTTATTAGGCTTTGGGCTCATGAATGCTGGAGAGTATTTGCAGATAGACTTATTAATGAAGAAGATAGATTACTAATGTTACACGGATTAAGAGAATCTGTCAAAAAAATTTTCGGACTCAATTTTGATACTGTATTTGAAACTTTGGGTGATAAAAAAAACAAAGATATAAAAATTGAAACATTAGATTAAATGAGGTCTCTTATTTTTACTGATGTTTTAACACCTTTGGGTGTTCCAAAAAGACCATATGAAGAAATTTTGGACAAAGATAAATTATTTGCAGCATGTTAGGAGTCTCTTGAAAATTATAATATGATTTCTGATAAGCCTATGGATTTGGTCTTATTTTCCTTTGCTGTTGAACATTTACTTATTATTGAAAGAATAGTCAAATAATCTGGAGGAAATGCACTTTTGGTTGGTGTAGGAGGTTCTGGAAGATAATCATTGACTAGATTAGCTGCTGGCATGTTAGATTAAGCAACTATTTAAATCGAAATTAGTAAGCTTTATGGAAAAACTGAATGGCATGAAGATATTAAAAAAATTCTTAAAAACGCAGGTGGTAAAGGAATTCAAACTGTATTTTTATTTACTGATTCATAAATTAAATAAGAAGGTTTTGTAGAAGACATTAATAATCTTTTAAATACTTGTGAAGTTCCCAACTTGTTCGCTGCAGATGAAAAAGCTGAACTTATGGAAATGGTAAGAGCTGCAGCTAAAGCTGAAGGTAAAGCACCTGAAGGTACTCCCGATTAACTTTATGGATATTTTGTCGAAAGATGTAGAAATTATTTACATATTGTTTTATGTTTTTCACCTATAGGTGATGCCTTTAGAAATAGAGTTAGAATGTTCCCTTCTTTAGTTAATTGTTGCACTATTGATTGGTTCTTTGAATGGCCTTAGGTATATATTTTTTTATAAAAAATAATAACATAATATTTATTATTTAAATTATAAAAAGGATGCTCTAGTATCTGTTGCAAAAAAATTTTTAGAAAAAATAGAAATGGATTTAGAAACAAGAAAGAGTTGCACAGAAATGGTATAATATTTCCATTAATCAACAATAGAAAATTCTCATAAATTCTATAACCATTTAAAGAGAAAATTTTATGTAACTCCAACTTCTTATTTAGAATTAATTGTCACTTTCTAAACTTTATTAGCAGAAAAAAGAAAAGAAGTTAAGTCTTCAATAGATAAATATGAAAATGGTTTTAATTAAATTATTACTACAGAAAAGGCTGTAGGGAAAATGTAAATTGATTTGACTGAAATGGTACCTAAATTAAAGAAAGCCGCTGAAGATACATAATAAAAAATGGAAGTCGTATCAAAAGAAAAAGCAATAGCAGATGTACTCGCAGAAGGTATATAAAAAGAAGAAGCAGTAGTATAAATAGCAGTAAATGAAGCTAATGCAATAAAAGAAGATTGTGAAAATGACTTAGCAGAAGCACTTCCATTGTTAGAATAAGCAAATAATGCATTAAATTGTATATAAAAACCTGATATTGATTATTTGAAATAAATGAGAAATCCAGTAGAACCTATAAGGGCAGTAATGAAAGCTGTATGCTATATTTTATATCCAAATCCAACGGAGAAGAAGAAAGAAGGTTTTAAAACTGTTGTCGATTGGTGGGCTGCATCAGTAAAGTTATTAGGAGATAACTTAATTAATAAAATTAGAGATTATAATAAAGATGATATAGACGAAAAGACAATTCAAAATTTAAATACTTACTTTAACGATGCTGAAGTTAAACCTTTTATTGAACCTACTGCCGTAGAAAAGGCTTCTCCTGTATGCTTGAATATGTTCTAATGGGCAAAAGCTATGTTTGATTATTATTTTGTAAATAAAAAAGTAAAGCCTAAAAAAGCTGCCTTAGCTGAATCAGAAGAAAAAGTGTCAAAACTAAATGCTTAATTATCAACTAAATAAAGAGAGTTAAAAGTGGCAATGGATAAGGTTGATAATCTTAATAGAGATCTTAAAATTGCATAAGATAATAAAGAAAATCTTGAAACAAGATATCAAGAATGCTCTGTTTAATTAGAAAGAGCTAAAACTTTAATTGAAAATCTTGGAGGAGAAAAAGGAAGATGGGGAGAGTTAGCTGAAAACCTTAAATAATTCTTTATTACACTTACTGGTGATGTTTTAATTTGTTCAAGTGCAATTGCTTATTTGGGACCTTTAACACCTACTTATAGGTAATATAATAATTCAATTGTTTTATTTTATTTACTTATTTTTTTTAAAAAAAAATATTAAAATTAGATAATAAATTTTAGAAGAATGGGTAAATAAATGCTCTGAAAAGAATATTCCTAGAAGCGATAAATTTAGTTTTTCTTAAGTTTTAGGTGACCCTGTTAAAATAAGAGCTTGGAATATTGACGGATTGCCAAGCGATAGTTTTTCAATTGAAAACGCGATTATTATTTTTAAATCTAGAAGATGGCCTCTTTGTATTGATCCTTAAGGCTAAGCAAACAAATGGATAAAAAAATTAGAATAACCTAGAGGTATTAATATTATTAAACTCACAGATACTGATTATTTGAGGGTTCTTGAAAATTCAATTCAATTTGGTAAACCTGTGCTTTTAGAAAATGTAGGAGAAGATCTTGATCCATCTTTATCTCCTATTTTGCTTAAATAAACTTTCTAAAAAGGAAATACATTATACATTAAATTAGGTGAAACTACTATTGAATATTCAAATGATTTTAGGTATATTTTTTTATAATTTATAATTATTTATGTTTTTGTATTTTTTTTATTTATTTTGAAAAATAGATTCTATATTACAACTAAGTATAGAAATCCTCATTATTTACCTGAACTATCTACAAAAGTAACTCTTATAAACTTTATGATTACTTATGAAGGTCTTAATGACTAACTTTTAGGTATTTTAGTTAAAAAAGAACGTCCTGACCTTGCTGCGGAAAAAGAAAGACTTATATTAGAAGGAGCTAATAATAAGAAAGCTTTAGCAGAAATAGAAGATAAGATATTATAAGTACTTTCAGGAAATAAAAACATATTAACAGATGAATCTGCAATTAACATATTAACAGCATCAAAAGTAACATCAAACGAAATTAAAGAAAAACAAATAGTAGCCGAATTAACAGAAAAAGAAATCGATGAGGCGAGATAAACATATTAACCAGTATCTACTTAAGCGTCTTGTCTTTTCTTTACAATTTCCGATTTAGGAAATTTAGATCCTATGTATTAATATTCTTTGGTTTACTATCTTGATTTATTCACTTAGGGAATATTAAATTCAGAAAAATCAGATGATTTTGAAAAAAGACTATAAATTCTAAAAGAATATTTCCTTTATTCTTTATATTCAAATATTTGTAGATCTCTTTTTGAAAAAGATAAACTTGTTTTTTCTATATTACTTTCTGTTAGACTACTTGAATTCAGGGGAGAAGAAAATATTCAAGAATTTTGGAGATTCTTACTTACAGGAGGTGTTTCTATTAATGAACATTTACCAGAAAAGCCTGAACATTTATCATGGCTTAGTATGAAAAATTGGGGTGAGATTAATCGTCTTTCTGATCTTCATGGATTTAAAGGATTTTATACAGTAAAATAAATAAAATATATTTCTTTTAATTTATTTTTTTAGTTATTTTTAAATCCTATATTTGCTCAGTAATTTAAAGATATATATGACTCTTCTTAACCTTAAGAAATGAAACTTCCATCAAGTGTAAAAATTGAAAAAATGAATAAATTAGGACAATTATGTATTCTAAGAACTATTCGTCCAGATAAAATTATACCTGCTGCTCAACTATTCATAAAGGATTATTTAGGAAAATAATTTATTGAACCTCCTCCTTTTGATCTAGCTTTAATATATAAAGATTCTTTATCTACTACACCTTTAATTTTCGTACTTTCACCTGGTAGTGATCCGTTTGCAAGTTTGAATGCTTTTGCAAAGAAAGTTGATAAAAATATAAAAGCAATATCTCTAGGATAAGGCCAAGGTCCAATAGCTTAAAGAATGATAAGTGAAGGATAAAAAACAGGAGATTGGATAGTTTTATAAAACTGTCATTTAGCAGTAACATGGATGACTACACTAGAAAAATTATGTGAAGAAATATCTCCTGATGAGAAAGTTACACATAAGGAATTCCGTATATGGTTAACTTCTTATCCTTCAAAAGATTTTCCAACAGCAGTATTATAAGCAGGTATTAAAATGACTAATGAACCTCCTAAAGGGTTAAAGAACAATATTTAAGGAAGCTATTTAATAGACCCAATTAATAAACCTGAATTTTTCGAGAATTGTGCAACACCAGGTCCTTTTAAGAAATTGCTTTTCGGTTTATGCTTTTTCCATGCTGTAATTCAAGAAAGACGAAAATATGGTCCTTTAGGATGGAATATTTCTTATGAATTCAACGAATCAGATTTGCGTATTTGTGTTCGTTAATTAAAAATGTTCTTAGATGAATTTGGTTAAAATATTCCTTACGATGCTCTTAAATATCTTACTGCTGAATGTAATTACGGAGGAAGAGTTACTGATGATAAAGATAGAAGATTAATTAATACTTTACTCGAAGATTATTATTGTGAACAAGCTGTTAATAATCCAAATTATAAATTCGCTGAAAATCCTGTATATAAACCTCTCGTATTTGAAACTTCGAATGATTATATTGAATATATTAGAGAAAAATTCCCTATTTTAGCCTCCACTGATGTTTTTGGTTTACATACAAATGCTGACATTACTAAAGATATGAATGAAACTAACTTCTTTACTGATTCACTTTTAATTTGTTCTTCTGCTTCTAGTTCTGGTGGAGGATAATCTTTAGAAGAAACACTTAATAATTTATGTAATAATATACTTACTGATTTCCCTGAAATATATAATCTTGATGAAATTCAAGAAAAATACCCTGTTAAATATGAAGAAAGTATGAATACTGTACTTACTTAAGAACTTACCAGATTTAATAAATTAATAAAAGTAAACATTTTTTAAAAAATTTTAAACATTATTATTTAAAATATATATATAAAAAGGTTATTAGATCTTCATTATTTGATATAAAGAAGGCATTATTAGGATTAATTCTTATGTCTCCATAATTAGAAGCTGCGTCAAAAAGTTTATTTGATGGAAAAGTGCCTGATTTATGGATGAGTAGTAGTTATCCTTCACTAAAACCTTTAGGAGGATATATCGCTGATTTAAGAAAGCGTTTAGTCTTTTTCTAAAAGTGGATAGATGAAGGAGCGCCTATAAACTTTTGGATATCTGGCTTTTATTTCACTTAATCTTTCTTAACAGGCGTCTTGTAAAACTTTGCAAGAAAATATACAATTCCTATTGATGAAGTTTAATTTGATTTTGTAATGTAAAAAGAGTCTGTAGCTGAAAAACCGTAAGATGGAGCTTGTGTTTATGGGCTTTTTGTTGAAGGCGCTAAATGGAATTATGATACCATGCTTATGGATGAATCTGATCCTAAAATTCTGTTTGTTGAATGTCCAAGTATTTTACTTGTACCTTGTCATTTTAAAGATATCTCAAATATTGCTCATTATAATTGTCCTGTTTATAAAACTTCGGCAAGAAGAGGTGTTTTGAGTACTACTGGGCATTCTACTAATTTCGTTATGTATATTAGATTACCTACTGATTAAGAATAAAAACATTGGGTTAAAAGGGGTGTGGCCTTATTAACTTAATTGGATGATTGATAGAATTTTTTTTTTCTTTTAAAAATAAAATATTATATTAATTTTTATTTTATTTTCTTTATAAATAAAAAAATATTAAAGTATATTATATTATAATTTTTTTTTTGTGATTTATTATAATATTATTATACTTATCATTTTATAAATGAATATAATTTACAACTTTATTTAAAATTACATATATTAATGATAAATTAATGTTTTCTTACTAAATATATAAATTAAAAAAAGTAATAAAAAAATACTACAATTATCAAAACATACATAAATTAAAAAAGAAAAAATTAATAATATATACGTTTAAATTTAAATGGAAAAAAAGGAAACTTAAAAGAATCCACACAAACGCAAATAAATGCAAAGTTAGTAGCCTTAATAATCCTAACTACAATAAAAACCTCCCTAATATCCAGTCCCAGCAAAATGTACAAAGACTCCATGGAGTGAAGAAGAAGACAAATTAGTAATAAAAATAGTTTAGTAACATGGCCCATAAAAGTGGACATTTATAGCTTAACATGTTCCAGGAAGGATAGGAAAACAATGTAGAGAAAGATGGCATAATCATTTAAATCCAAACATAAATAAAGATTAATGGAGTTAAGATGAAGTATGGATACTTTATTTATGCCATAGGTTAAAAGGAAATAAATGGTCTGAAATTACGAATTATTTACCTGGAAGGACTGATAATGCTATCAAAAATCATTGGAACTCTTCAATGAAAAAGCGTATTCCTGAACTTTACTAGAAATATCTTTATTTCAGAACACATAATAAACTCGAAAAGCCTGCTTCTTCGAAATACTAGTAGGCTGAATAAGAAATTATTAAACTTCTTTAAGATAGTAATGATAATGGTTCAGAATAATATTTTATTTGGAGTTCTAGAAGAAAAAGGAAATATAAAATGTAGCCGTTTTTGTAATAAATTGCAGAAGTTAATGAATTATTTGATAAAATTCCCAAAAAAAATTAACTTCTTGAATCTTTTAAAAAAAAGCTAATTGATTTATATGCCTAAAAAGATTAAAATTTACACAAAAATATCGATAAAATACTTTCCGTTCAAAATTATTTTTGTAATTATATGTAAAAAAATCCTGAGTTCGCAGAAATATTTATAAATTAAATTAAATAAATACCAAATTAAACTATATAAATCAAGAAAAGAGGTCGTAAACCAAAAACAATAAATAAAGTTTAGCAAAACCTTATTTAAAGTTAAATTATAAATTTAGAAAAAGATAATTTTCTTTAATAAAATCATAATGAATTTTCATTATAACAATAAGAATAATAATAATAAATATATTAAAACAATAATTAAATAAATAACAATGAATTATTATATAACCATAACCAAGAAGATTCCGTGTAAAATTATTATTCAACCCCTTAGAAATTCCTAAATGAAAATCATAGAAAAGAAATTAATATTAATAATAGCTTTTTCCATTTAATTTAATATTCAAAAGAAAATTTAAACCCTAATAATATTTTAAAAGAAAATAAATACAATAATCAGTTTATTACACCTAAAAAGTTTAACTCTTCATCTAATAAAGATCATAACGATTCCGAAATTTAAAATAATAATTCTATTGGAAAATATTTTAATTAGCCTTAATATAGTTCTAATCATAAAAATAATGCGAATTAAAAAAATTTCGGGCATTAATTAAATTCTGTATTTAAATGTTATGATGATAATAAATATTTGTGAAAATTTTATTTTACATTAAAAGAAGAAAAAAGTAAATGTTAACATATATTTTAATTTATTAAATATGTAATTTTTTACTAATTTTATTTGATTAAATAATATGTATTTTAATATTTATTTTATCTTCTATTTAATTATATATTTTTTTTATGTATCAATTTATAATTTAATTTTTCTTTAAAATATAATTTACTTTTATTTAAAATATTTACATAATATTAAATTATTATTATAAATGTTAACTTTAAATTCTTTTTAAAAGAAAGAAATTAGATTATAAAATTATTTACTTTTTATTATTATTTATTTCAATTTTCAATATTATAATTTTATTAAAATTCAAATTTTCAATTATATAATTATATACTTACTGTTATTTACTTATTTTTATTATAATAAAAATACTTATAAATTACTTCTTAAAATTATTTACTATAATAAAAACTTTAGTTAACAAAAATTAAAAAAATGGGATCTGGATCATCTAATAATTAAGTATTTTATATTGTTTTTATTAAAATAAAATAAAAACAGAGAGATAAAAAAACTAACAATAATTAATACTCTTAACAAAATTTATAAAGACGTATTAATAGTTAAAATTAAAACAGATAAATTATTTAAATTCGTAATTCAATGCACTAAGGATAATAATAGTTAATATACATAATAATATGGCTTAGTATTTTTATATATTCTATAATTTTTAAATAAAAATAGATAATAATTAATTTATTAATAAAATTAAAATAATGCTTAGAATAATTATTAGGCCTTATAAATTATTTAAAACAATTAGATTTTAAATAAATCCAAAAATATTAATTAGAACTATGATTCAGTATTTTATAAATGGATTATATAAATGAAATATATTAATACATTATATAAAATTAAAATAAAGAATATTTTATTAACTTTGTTAAAATAAATATAGAATGCAAACCAAGTTCAAGTATTGAAAAATGATATAATGATAAAAAAAGAAACTCTTTAAATAATTTAAGATTAAAAAAAATAAAAAATATTTAAATTTAATTTTGATTAATTAACTCCAATAGAAATTATAATATATTATTAAGTTTAAGAAGTATAAGACGATTTAGGTAATTTTTAATTACTTAATTCGGCAGCTTAAGATAATTTCGAATATTATGATAATTCATTAAATTAGGTATGTTAATCTATAATTAATGTCAAATTATAAAACAAAACAAATTAATTATAAGAATAAGTTGAAAATTGGCCTATAGTAATTGAAATTGTAAATTTATTACTATAAAATTAATTTAAAATTTTTAACATTGCATATGTATTATTAAAAAAGAAAAAATTAGATAAGTCAAAAGAAGATAAAACTATTTTTTATTTCATTAATATAGAAAATGAAAAATTAAAATTAGCAAAACAAAAGATAATAGTATATTAATAATATAATTTAAAAATAAATTACTAATATTTTAAAAAATAAGCATAATAAAGAAGTTTATGAAATTTAGGAAATATATGGAATAGAAAATACTGAACTTATAAAAAATGAAAATTAATAATAAAATTTATAAAAACAGGCATTGTAAAATAGATTAAAAAACTTTTTTATAAATTTATATCTAATTAAATAAATAAATATAATTTTAATTGTATTTTTAATTTAAGTGTTGAAGATTAAAATAAAGAATGTATTATTTGTTTTACAGATTTAATTGATACTATTATTTTACCTTGTAGACATATGTGTATGTGTATAGAATGTGCTAAATCATTTTAAATTTAAAAAAAGGAAAAGCTTTGTCCTATATGCAGAAATTGTAAATATTATTTTATTAATATTTAAATATTTAAATATAATAAAAGAAATCATATCTTTTTTAAGGATTAAAAAGTTTGAATAAAAATGAAGTTTTTTATTTGAATAATTCTATAAAGAAAACTACTTTATTATCTATATATATATATATTTATATATATATATTTATTAATTATATATTTTATTATAATAAATAAAAAATTTATTTATTATCATTTATTTAAAAAAACTAAATATAAGTTTTATAAATATATAGATTAGAAAACAATGTAAATAGCAAATAAATTATATCATTTATAAAATTATATAGAATAATAAATTAGACAATTAATAAAACTATATTAATGGATATTTCTATATTTTACTTCGTTGATTTAAAGGTATTCCAATAGTTTTATTATTATCTTTAATAAATGTTGGTTTATTAGAAATAAGATTAACTTATTTATTAAATATTGTTTGTATAAATAGATATAATAATTTTAATTTATTGTAAAAAATATAATTTCTCAAATAAATCAAATATTACAAATATTTACAGATTTCATTATAAAAATTTATATTAAAATTTAATTTATTATCTTTAATTTTGTTAAAATATTAAAAATCTTTTTTATTTTCCTAAAAATTTCGATATATTTTTTTCTCTTCTTTATCACTTTAAAGTTTATAACTCCTTGCTTCTGACTTTAAAATTTATTTATAGGTCAGTGATAAATAATTATTCTCTAAAATATTATTCTTTACTTAATGTTTCATATACAAATTCATTATTATTTTAATTGTTTAGTAGTTCAATTTAATTTTTGTCCAATTAAAAAAATAGAACAATATTATTTTCTTATTAATAAAACATATATTCGTTAAGGGTAAAATTCATATTTTGTGAAGTTTAAAAAATACTTTTTCAATTTTTTTGTCAAATTATTTAAAAATAAAAATTGGTTAATAATATTTTTAATGACTTCTTTAAATATTTTTTCTCGTAATCTAATCACTAATTCTAAATAATTTTATAAATATTAAAAATAATAATAATAATTTTTCAAATTTATTAAAAAATATACTATTTATTTATTAAATTGTAAATTTTATAAAATGTATATATATTGCTCTTATATTTCTAAAATTTTCTAAACTATAATATACAACTATTTATAATAATTATAATTTAAAATTATTAAATAATCAATTTTGTTATCACAATTTACTATAATTAAAAAAAAAAATCATAAATTAATTTAAATTCATATATTAGATAAAATAAAAAATGTTATTATATAAATTTATATTTTAATTATAATAACTATTTTATTATAGACATAAATAATATACTATTAAGAAAAATAGATAATAATAATAATTAAATATACTTTGATTGTTTCTTTAAAAAAGAAAAAAGTATAAAAAAAAATTAGTTTAACCATTCATCATATTTAAAAATTTATTTAAAATAAAAAAAAAGTTTTGAAAAGCATATAGGAAAGACTGAAACAAAATAAAAATTATTTAAAATAAAAAAAAAATAAAAAATAATTTATATCATATCAGATTATGTAAAATATTATCTTAATATATATGTTTCATTTTATAAATCTTACATAAACTGCTCTTTATCCTAATAATTATATTATATAATTTATATATGTTATATATATTTTTATTATTATATTTTTTCATATTCTAATATAATATATTGATTATCGTATTTTTTAAATGATATTTTATAAGATACATTAAATTTTAATGGCTGGCGACATATATTTTAAGTTAATTTCCGAAAATAGAGAGTATACAATTTCTATTTAAAGTGAATAAGTTTTTGTGAGTGAACTCAAAAAGTTAATTGGAATATAATTAGGTATATATCATAAATGATATTTAAATTTTTATTATTTGATTAAAGCTATATAATTATTTCATTATTAAAATATCAAATCTTAGTTTTACTTTTATAAATAAAATAAATAATAAAAAAATTATCATATACCAAAAAATAAAGATACAATTAATAAAATATTTTTATTTTATTATTGTAATTATTTTAATAAATAGGTCATAAAGAAGAAATAGGAATATATTATGATTAATAATAATAAAAAGAATATTAAGATGATTAAAAAATATAAGCAAATAGTAAAGTATATGTTGAAAGAAAATAAAATTATCATTTAAGTATGAGCAAATACTTATACTGTGAAAAATGTAAAGGACCGAATCCTCAAAAAACATTATGTTGTAAAAAGTACATATGTAAATTCTGTAAAGAAAAAAGCAAGAAAAATGGAAAATGTATATATTGTGAAATTAGTCTC